GGGTGGACGGCAGTTCAATCAGGCTCTCATCGATTCTTGTGCCGGTGGTGGGGGAGGGGTTAAGAAGGGATTGATCGGCGTGGAAGAATATCGACGTGGAAGTACCAGACGCAAGGTCGGGCCGGGGAGGGCAAGTCGGAAGGGTGAGGGGGGAGAGGAGGTCGGAAGAATAGGCAGGGAGATTGAGTTTGTTCGCATGTTAGAGTGGAATTTAAGCTATGTCAGAGATGCACGGCAGGGCTCCATGGTGTTACAGAATGGCAATGTGGGTGCTCAAATCGTCGTTCGCCGGACAGCTGTCCGGTTGGGACCAGGCCCGCATCCCCTCCTGCGCGCGCCTCGTGCCACGTCACCGCAGTTGCCCTTGGGGTGCCCACGGAAATGACAAGGGTTCTCTCACCACGGTTTTGTTGCGCAAGACCCAGCGCTCGCGCTTTTCGCGTCTGAGGCGCGCGCGCTCCCTGGCGCTGCGCGAGCGCGGGTGCTTCTCGTGCGCGCCCGCGTGGTTGAACCAGACGGGGCACTCGGCGGCGCGGATGTCGCACACATAGCAGAAGCAGTTGATGCAGTACTGGGCATTGCCGAACTCGTGCACGCCACACTGGAAGCGCATGTGCGGGTAGTCGCGCAGCGGGTGCAGGGTGAGCGCGGTGGCAACGACGCGTACGTCTTCGCCGGGCAGCAGCGCGGGCGTCTCCGGGGTGAGCGCGGTGGCAACGACGCGCACGTCCTCGCCGGGCGGCAGCGCGGGCGTCTCTGGGGCGGGCTGGCCGAGCGGGCGCTTGGCGGGGTGCGAAGAGGGTGGGGGGGATCCGCGGGGGCGGCAGTTCGTGCAGTCGCGCAGCGGCGTGATCAGATTCACGATGGGGATGCGCCGGCGCACGGGTGGGGTGCCGCAGGCGGAGGGCGACGAGGGGCGGCCGGCCGGGGGAGGGGTCGGCGGGAGGTTCTTGGCTTGGCTGCGAGTGCGCATTTTGGAGGCAGAGGGGAGAATGAAAACGGTAAGGGCAAGGGTGGTGGTTGAGGGAATGGGGGGACGGCGACACGGGAAGGAGAGAAAGGCAAGGTACCCAAGGGTACAAGGCAAGCGTGAGGGGCAGATGAATCAAGGGGATCGCCCAATGCTGCGAACTGTGTAGTGCTTCCTACTGCATCATTGGCCCGAAGAATCGACGAAAACCAAAACTTTTGCACTTCCTCTAGCCGTTACGCTTACTCTCACTCAATTTTGCCACCTGTCCACGTCGTACAAGTGTCCACGAGATACATGTGTCTTTGACCACGACACCACGTGTGCGACGGGAAAGCCGACCTATCCACGGTTCAACAGCAGATGAGATCTGTCCCCTTATCTCCCACACCTCACCAAACAAAATCACTCATCCGCACACAACTCATTCCTCCGCCGTCCGCCGCCTCCTCTTCGCATCCTAGTCCACCCCCGCTCCCCCCGAAACAATGCCTCCCATCCTCTTCGCCGCCACGGCCCCGCGCTCGTGCCCCCGCATTTTCCTGCACGCGCACCCGCCGATGTGTTCCGCGACGCCGCCGCCGCCCGACGCGGCGACGGCCCGTCCGCACTCGCGCAAGCGCGTGCGCTCGCGCACGCCGCGCCCCCCGCGCACCTCAGTTGCCGGTCTCGACGCGGCCATCTCTGCCGGCGCCCTGTCGTTGCTTCCGGAGCTGGTCGCGCGCGACGTGGACACGCTCTCGTACGGCGCCATCCTGCGCGTGCTCTCCGCGCTGACGAAGGCCGCCCTGTGGCGGCCGGCGGTGCGCGTGTACGACGCGGCGGCGCTCAACCATGGCATCAAGATTCGCTTCACGTCGCGCATCTACACGGACCTGTTCTTCTCACTGATGAAGCTCGGCGGCCCGCGTGACGCGGACCGCGCCTTTGAAGAGTGGCAGTACCTCGTCGACCGCGACCGAGACCAGACGTTGCTCGGACCGCGCGCGTATAACTTCTTGTTTGTGCTGCTCAGCCGCAACGCGCGCGTGGATGAGGCGATGTCTGTAAGGAACAATTGTTCGGAGAATGGGTTTTATTTGAATCGGTACTCGTACAACGCGTTTCTCAATGCGTGCGCGAAGAGCCACCGCATTGCAGACGCGTTTGAAACTCTCCGCAACATGGCGGAGAGCAACGTCCTGCCGGACGTCGTCTCTTTCAATGTCCTCATCGCGTGCTGTGTGCGCAGTGGCGACTTGGATATCGCCCTTGGAATTCTTCATCGTATGCGCGATTGGGGCATCTTGCCGGATGTCTACTCGTATAATTCCATCGTGAACGGTCTCAGAAAGAACAAGATGCTCGAGGAGGCCTTCCAGCTCGTCGCTCTCATGGAGACGGAGGCTGCGAATGGCAAGTCCATTCCGCTCATAACGGATATTCCAAAATGCGTCGAGGAGCCAGAGACGGGTCACGCACGGAGGCAGTCGCCTGAGGCCGTGGACAAGCCAGCCCATGTCGTGGCCGCCGCCCCGCTTATTGAGGCCCTAACGACGGCGAGGAGAGCCACAACGGCCAAGCCTGGGGAGACATTGACAGTGGAGCACAAGGGAAAGAAGCAAGGGGGAGAGACAAGAGAAGAGAAAGGGAATCCAGCGGCTGAGCAAGGTAAGAATGAGGCCGACGAGGCCGACGAGGCCGACGAGGGAGAGGAGCGTGAAGCAGCGGAGAGGAAACTTGTTGACGTGGGGGAGGAGGGCGAAGATGGTGAAGAGACAGGCGTCAGTCCAGATCTAGTGACATACAATACGCTTATTTCCGGACTCGCTTGTGAGGAGTTTCCTGATTTCGAGCGTGCCATGCGTGTCAAGCAGCATATGGAGTCGCGCAGAGTGATATGCAACGAGGTAAGTTATAATGCATTGATGGCTGTAGCAGCGCGATCCAACAGGGTTCAGATCGCGTTTGAGATCTATGACGAGATGATTGGCAAGAGCCTCCGCCCAAACTGTGAATGCTTCACGACGCTCATCACGCTGTGCGGCCGGACCAACATGATCGATCGCGCTTTTAAGATACACGAGCACATGATCACGATCGGGATCGAACCAAGCGTGATTACATACAACGCGCTTCTGACCGCATGTCGTTGCTCGGCTGGACGAGATGCCGGGGAAGCTGCGCTACAAGTGTTTCAGGAGATGCGGGAGACGCCGGGGTGCACGCCGGATGTGATTACATACTCGACGGTGATCGACGCGCTCGGGCGCGGGGGACGCTTCGGTCAGGTGCGCGACGTGCTCGACGAGATGTCGCGAGAAGGAGTGGCGCCTAACCTTGTGACGTACACGTCTGTGATCTCGGCTCTAACGCGAGCCGGGGACTTGGAAGGCGCTCTGAAAGTGCTCGAAGATATGGAGGGGCACGGGATCAAGCCGAATGTGTACACGTTTTCCAGCCTGATCCACGGGGCAGGGCGGCGCGGACAGTTTCACAAGGCGTTTGAAATGCTGCAGCTGATGCGCGAAAGCGGCATCATGGCCAGCCGGGTGACATACAGCATGCTGCTGCAGCTGGCGGTCAAGTCCGGGGAGCGGGAGCTTCTCGAACATGTCATCGATGTTGTGGCGACCGACACCAGGCTCATAGGCACGCCGCAGCTGGAGCGGATCCTCTACTTGAGCGACGACCCGGATCTGTTCGTGGCTGGGAAGAGCAAGCAAATCTTCGCCATGATGAACAAGGCGATCGAGGAGTGTATCGCGGGCTCGAAGAGTCAGAGCTGGAATCGCAAGTTTCGCGGACGGTAGGGGATGTGATACAAGGGAATAAAGCACTAGCGTTGGTAGCTAACTAATGTTAACAGTTTTATGTCCTAGAGTATTTGTAGGGCGGTATGGATACTCATGCAGGGTTTTTGCAGGGGAGTTAGGGTATAGTACAAAGGCAGGTTATTCTCTGAGCATATCCATTGTGTTTGAAGTGAGAATAGTGAGATGCCGGTACTTCATGCGGTTTGGCAAGCTACGGAGCTTTGGCTGGCAGAGAATATAAAGCAGGACTTTTCGACGTGTGCCCGTTCAGGAGATGTAGAGGCAGCGCTGGCTTTTTTTCTGCAAAGCGATTGGTTGTCGATTGCGCCTCCCCTCAAATCTCCCTCCGCATGCAAAAACCCGTGGCCCGCACAGCACCCTCTCCTCTCTTCTCCTCTCCGCCTCCAATCGCTCCCGCAATCCTCCATTGCCCTGTACGTAAAGTGCTCGCCCCGTTCCTTCCACGTCTCTCTCACCACCTTTCCCCCGTCTTCCTCGCCTCCCCACAATGTCCGCCTTCCTCCCCGCCCCTCCGCTTCCCTGCCGCCGCCCGCCGCTGCGGACCCAGAAAGTCCGCGCCTGCGGGCTCCCAGAGCCGTCCCCGATGAGTTTGGACACGCTCTCCAGCTTCGAGTCCTTCTGCTGGCGCGCGCAGGATTGGCTGTGCACAGCCGCAGCGGACGCGGACGGGCTAGGGACCTTCCAACCAGTACCGACGACCTTCCACACGTCTCCGCACCCCTCTTCACGCCGTGCGCGCCACCGCGTCATGCGCGGTGGCCGCTTCTTCCACACGGCCATGGTCGCAGTGTGGAGCTCTTCGTCCCCGCTTTCGACGCCGCGTTACCGCCGCCGCCTCACCACCGAGCTCGACAGACACACGGCCACGGTCGAGTTCGCCAAGGACGCCGTCGGGGTCAGCGTCAAGCTCTCGCCGCGCGACCCGAGCGCCCCGGCCCTGCGTGCCGACGCGCACTACTTCCAGATCGGCGGCGGCACCGTGTCGTGGTGGTTCTCCGGCACGGCTGACATTAGTATGGGGCCCGAGGCAGACCCCGACACGTTTGCAGAGAACCTGGGCCCGTTTCTCGGGACGTGGGACAAGTTGCGGATGAGGCATCGCGCACCGCCGGGACGTCTCACCCGCAATTTTCTACAGGATTGCTTAAGAGTGAGCGGCGAGGGGGAGGCGGCCCCCATCGGCGGCCTGGATAGGATGTCGGCTTTCGGCTTCATTACCGAGGTCGTAGACGCGTTGCTGCCGGCCTACCTGCCGTTATTGAGAGCCAGGAAGAGGGGGAGCCGGTTCGAATCGGAGATGCTGCATGATTGGGAGCCGGTTTGGGGGGGCCTGGGACTGGGGGGCACGGACGTAGAGCGCAGATTTGGGAAAGAGGAGATTGACACGTTTGGGATTTCGGGGGGCGCGACGTGCGAGAGTGTTACCGTCAGAGGCAGTCCGCTGGGGTCGTGGCGCTTCTCCTTGGCGCCTTCCATGTTTACGGCGGCGGGGAAGACGTACGCGACGCTGCGCAACGACCACGGAAATATCAACGGGCCGTTGACGCATATTTTTTGAGGCTCCGATCGAGCAGGCTAGCTTGCAGTCAAGTCAGCATGACAGAATTCGGTCGTTGTATACTATGTAGTGCTGGAAAATAAGGAAGGGAAGCTCTGGAGATGAAGTCGGCTTCTTTCAGTAGGTTCCAGCTGTGGGAGTTAGTGAAGCGTATAAGACACTAGGCGCAGCTTGACAGTACGATATGCCCGTTCCGACCGTAGAGGGGGAATGAAATGGCAACGAACCACGCGCCTCGAATAAGTTGTTTCGCGTCCCAGCAAACGGAAGGTTGCGTTCGTTTCCTGCCTCGAGAGCGGGTACAATTATGACATTGGTCTCCGTGAGCCAGAGATGAGCTGTCTCACGACTACGTCGGAAACGGGGTGCATCTACACTACCTACAGTAGCGGTCTTGTTTTGCAGCGCTGTATGATCGTGTGGTGGCACGAAAGGAACACCTCGCTTCAACGAACAGCGGTAACATGGCAAAGCGGATGCGGCGGTATCTGCCACAGCGGCTTTATAACTGGAAGCGATTGCAAAAACGAGTGTGTGCTGTGACATGCCGGTATTGTTCGATCTTTTGACAGCCTTCTACCTACACACGAACCGCCTCGCTACGAGTCCGAACAACCATGGTGCTTTACAGGCGCTCTGGCCGTGCGATACCAATATCTTGAAGTGCTTGTCACGCCCAAAACGCGTGGTGGCGATGCAGACGCAAGTGCCTCCGCCACGCTTCATTCCACCGCGAAGTGCCCGCGATCAAAACTAAGCTACTAAATCTACTCGAGTTTAAGCTCTGCGGGCTTGCCTTCCCTGCCGAGATTGCGGAGGTGCCTAATATGCGCCGCGAGCGCGTCCGCGTAGCTGTCGTAGACCTTGAACTCGTAGCCGTACTTCTTGGCGACGTCCATGATGAGCGGGTTGACCGTTGGGTAGTGGTACTGGCTGACGCAGGGGAACAGGTGGTGTATGGTCTGGTAGTTGAGCGCGCCAGAGAAGTAGGCGGCGAGCGGGCTGTCGTGCGAGTAGTCGATGGTGGTCTTAATCTGGGACTCGGCCCATTCTTGCTCGTACACGGCCGGGCACTTGCCGGACTCGCGCTTGGCGGTGTCGGAGAAGAGGAAGTCGACCTCGTCCGAGATGTGGCTGACCTGGAAGTTGAAGGCGAGCCAATACCCGGTGGTGAACTCTGTGGCCAGGAAGAGCACGGCGAGCTGCGGGCGTGAAACAGCCGTCAGGAAGACGTACGGCACAACGACGCGGTAGAAGAGCCACACGGCCTTAGCCGACAGCATGCGCAGGTAGTCCTGCACGGAGATGGGGTTGACGCGGATTGGGCCGTTGGTATGCTTGGAAAAGACTTCGGTGAGGTCCTGCATGCGGCTCTTGAGCGCGAGGATGCCGTACAGCGGCGGCAGGTAGAGGTGCTGCCACCGGTACACGGACGCCCAGGCCTGCTGCTGCACGAGCCTGCGCGGGTCGCCCGCAAGGTCGGTGGGCAAGTCCGGATCGGCGCCCATGACGTTGGTGTACACGTGATGCCCCAGGACGTGCTGGTTACGCCACGACACCATGGAGCTGCCCGACATATAGTCGAGCGAGAAGCGGCCGACACCCCACCACCACTTCTCCGAGCGGCCAATGGACACGTGCGATGCATCGTGCATCCACCCCGTCAGCGGCATACCCTGGCACACGCCGAGGAGCACCGCCAGCGCGACACGGGCCGCAAACGGCACTCCCGGCACACAGTAGATGGCGTAGTACGCCGCGAAGAAGCACACGTACACCGGGGCCATGCGCACGACGCCGTTCCACGGGTTCTTGCTATCCACACCGTTCTCCTCGAAGTAGCGCTTCAGCACCTGGCTCGCCTCCTTGTAGAACCCAGAGTCCGGCTTGTACACGGGGTGCTCGAACGTCGCCAATGACCCGATTCGATACTTCTTCAGCACCACGCGTGGCACATCCGTGAACGGGTGGTACGAGTTGAACAGGTTAGTAGCATCCCTTCCCAGCGCAAAGAGCAGGATCTCCTTGCCGCCGGGGTGGCGGTCGACAAACTCTGTGATGTCGTACACGAGGCCGTCGACTGCGACCCAGGCGCTCTCCTCGGCGTTGTGTCGCGCGAGCTCCTGCCAGGTGAACGTGGCAGAGGGGTTCTCGAAGCTGGCCTTGGGCGAGGGGCGCCTAGTGACGCGGCCGAGGACGCGCGCGTCGTGCAGCAGGGCGAAGGCCTCCAGCTGAAGCGCCAGCAGCGGCAGCAGGGCCCACCAGCCCAGCGGGGTGAGGGCGCACGCCAGGCACGACATGATCGCGGCCAGCAGCACGCAAGCGCGGGCGGCGGCGAAGCGCGCGGCGGCGGGGGACGGCGTGGCGGACATGGCGGGGACGGGCGGGGCGATGTGAAGTCGCGGGGAAGGGGCGAGCGGGATGTGCGAGAGGGATGCGCGAGGTGGCCCTAGTATTGTGTCTAATATCTGTTGCGATAGATGGGCGGGATCCGGGCGCGAGGACGGGCGCTCCACGTGTACGCGCGTGCGGCTGGGGAAGGGCGCGGCGCGCGCTGATTGGGGCCGCCCAAGGCCGGCGGGACAAGTGGCGGCGCGGGAGGCGTGCGGGCTCGCGGAATGGCGCCGGTGCCGCTCGCGAGTGGTGGCGGTGAGCCGTTGGCCCGCGCGGGAGCACTGACATCACCCAACCAGCGCAGCAGCGCGCCCAATTACAGTCGCTTGGCAGGCCATGCGTGCGCTGCTGCGCTGGTTGGGTGATGGGCAATGGTACAGTAGGGGTCTTCGCGCGTTTGTCATACTACGATTGTATCCCTACCTTATCATACTCCAAAACCTCCCTCCAATTGAGGGCCATTCCATTCATCGTGATTGGCAATCATGCAATCACGCAATCACGCGATCACGACATTAATTTAACGTCGTTCTGCAAATTGGAGCACAAGATTAATTTTAAGTCGATTGTTTATTTCTTTAATGAGCATGACCATTTTTTAGGAAACGTATTATAAACAACCAACCACAAGGGAGCAGGCACCATTTATTGACGTGATTGCGTGATTGCCAATCACGATGAATGGAATGGCCCTGATAGTCTCTTGTGAGCGGAATTTGTCGGACGGGCGTCCGACTAGAAAAGGTGCAATTAATTGGTTGATTTCAGGTATTCAATGGCCTCGCTCTGGCTTTGCGGAGCCACTCACATAAGGCCAAGTATAGACAGCCATCAGGAGCTGAGCAACGCTCATATGCGCGATGGATGAAAATTGCAACCAATAGAGCATGTGCGCAAGAAACGTAAAATTTTTGCGTTTGCTCCTGACGGCAAAAAAACTTACAGAAGAAAACGTAAAAATTTGCGGAGCTTGTGCGCAAGCTGCAAAAACGTGAAAATCTACGTCTTCTTGCGTTCCCCTGGCCTTCACCCAGGAACTGCAACTTCTTGGCCTCTGCCGTCTAACGTTATCAACGACGAACACTGCGCGCGTGACGAGTGTGTCCCCCTACTAGTGCTGTGGCTCGGCGGTCCGCCACCTTCAGCGGTTGATATGGCGCTTCCCGAGCATCAGCAACGGAGGCTTTTAGGCGTCGGTGCGTTTTCGAAAGCGCGGCGTGTGTCGACGATGGGGCCTTGTGGCACTAACTTCGTATCTTGTCATCTTTGCGACGCTAGTCATCATTACTGCGGTTTGGTTGAGGCGTAGGGCCCAGCATAGGAGGCGCGTGCAGGTTTGGGCCTTGGCTGCAGCCGCTGCGGCCGCTGTTGAAAGCCAAGAGAGCCTGGCGAAGGAGGAATCGGAGCTGGCCATGGTCATGCTCGCTCTGTACTCGAGATGTAGGGCGGTGCTGCGGCTCCAAAGGGTAAGTAGCGTGTTTGTTGGGGCTCACAGGCGGCCGCGGCTGCATACGTACGCCCTCAGCTCCGAAATGACCGCCCACGAGTTTAAGGTGAGCTTCCGAATTGACCGAATTAATTTCAAGCGACTGCATGACGCCCTCCGCCTACCGGAGTTGCTATACTGCGTAAACCGATTGGCGGTATGCAGTATAGAAGCGCTGTTGATATATCTAAGATACTTCGGCGAAAACTGCCGTGACTCCACGGTCGCGTGGTATTGCGGCCGGGATCGCACGGCAGTGTCCCGCATCGTGAAAGCGATGAGCTGCATCATCGTGTCGAAGTGGTGGGCTAGAGTGCGCATCCCGCAGCGCATCCTTGGCTCAACCCGCCTAAGGAGAATCGTGAGGGCCGTTCGGGAATTTGGATGCCCTTTTGACAGCTGCGTCGGCTTTTGGGACGGGTCGAGGCTGCGCACAGCGCGCCCGGGTGAGAATTCAATGCAGAACGCGCTTTAAAACGCAAAATACGGGCACAACCTCGCGTATCAGGCTGTGAATTGCCCCGATGGGCTCATTTTCGACTATCAAGGGCCGTTTGGCGGGTTCCATGCCGACGGAAGCATTGTCACCCAGTCAACGCTCATCGAATGCATGACGGCGTTTCTCCCGGATCACAACGTGTATAATGACGCAGCGTACGCTCGCAGCGCTGTTTGTTGCCGCGGGCATCGCAATCCTACGTCGCTTGAGGAGCGGGCCTTCAATGCGCTGATGAATAGCCTCCGTATCACTGCCAAATGGGGGTTTGGGGGTGTTGAGGCCAAGTTTCCGTGGCTCAAGTACAACCAGAACTTCGTTGTCGGGCGGCGGCCAGTTGCCATGCACGTGTTGTCAATTGTAGTATTATGGAACGCCATAGCGTGCCTCGAGCCGACGCAAACATCGCAGTACTTCACCTGCGAGCCGCCTCACATCGAAGAGCATTTATGCGACGACTTGCATGAGCTGCAGCCGGACGAGTACAAGGATGCAGAAGGGGCATGCCTTGCCGGGGGCATAATGATACAATTGTACGAAGAGTCTGTTGAGTACGTCGCCAAGTGCGAGGCAGCACGACCTGGAGGAGATGGAGGCCTTTGACTTTGCAGTGCGCTGTCTTGCAACATGTAAAAGCTGCCTTGTTTATGAGTGACGACTAGTAGACGGCGCATGCGGGCGACCACATTAATCGCAGCCGCACGCGTGTCACTTTTTTGTGAGATGGCTAAGCATTTGCTCTATGGAGGACGCCATGCCCTCAACCTTGCTCCCCAGCCCCGTTACTGCACCTTCTAGCGTGGCCAGGCGCGCGTCAGAACCAGAGCCTCCATTATTAACCCCAGACGCGAAGTTCTGCAGCATGTCGATCACCCTGCCGTCGCCTGCGCTGCTGGCGACTGCGGTGGCCTCCGCTGCTGCAGCTACCCTCGACATGACGCTCTCACTCCTGTCTGCATCGGCGTCACGACGGTCGTACAGGCCCCTAGCCGCCCCCCGCATGCTCGACATCTCTTTCAGAAGCAGCTCTCTCGAGTCCGACGCCGTCGCCCTCCGCTTCTTTGGCCTGGGGCCGCCAGCGCTGCCGCAGGGACGCTTGTGGGTCGACGGCGCCAGCGTAATGGCATAGCCATCGCCATCCTGCCCTGCCAGCGCCTCGGGCACGCCGCAGTCAGGGTTGGGATCGCTGTCCCGGTCGTCGGCCGTGTCACCCTCATCCCCAGTCACCTCCCTGCTTTCGGGGAAGAGCCCTCGAGAAGTTCTCACTGCCGCAAGCATTGTTCGCCTTGTTGCCTCCGCCTTGCGGGTTCGCTCTTCCTTTTTCTCCGAGGTCCTATTGAGGGCCTCGGCCTCAATGTCGATAAGGGTCTGAATGCTCCTCAAAAGTCTGTCGCTTGCATCAGGCATTCCGCCTGCTCCGTTTGGCGTGACGTACTTTCTCTTGAGCTCAGAGTACCGGTCGGTCTTGAGTTTCTTATACGCGCCCTTCAGCTTCGCAATGCTGAGAGGGACGTGCAAGAACCTGCTCTGAACACGGGCGAGAACATTGCCCCAGGTGGGGCCTTTGGCCCCATGTGCTGCTCGCCCAACCTCTTCCTCAACGCACACCTCGGAGATGTACAGCTCCAGCCCCGGCACCTTGCAGATCGAGACCGCGCCGCTTGCAGATTGCCATGTCGGCCTCTTTCGTCTTCGCGCCACTGCGCCCACACCATCAGCCGCGCTGCCACTCTCCTCACCCTTATCTGTTCTGTTGCTGTTGATGTTGATGTTGTTGTTGTTGTCGTCGTCGTCGTCGTCATCGTCGTCTTCATCGTCACTGTCATCGTCGCCGTCATCGTCGCCGTCGTTGTCGTCGTCATCATCATCGGTGTCCAAGCCACCGTCCCCCGCGGCCCAAGCAGAGCATGGCTTGAAGTGGAGCGTCTCTTTCGTGGGCCTAAGCAGGCGCTCGGCCTCTTGCTGAAAGTATAGCTTAACGCCCTCGGTAAGGCCAGCGGCCTTCTCCCTCTCATCTATAATCGGGCTGTCCGACAGCTCTGCAATCCGCTGCCGCGCGCAGTCGACGGTGCACACAAAAACCCCGCTGAGCGCCTCAACAGTCTGTGAGGCAGCGAATAGCGGGCTGCACTGCCCGTGCATCGGCGAGCGGCACCAGCCGCAGTAGTGCGAAGTGCGCTGCAGGCTTGCACCTGCAGTACGACACTCTGTTCCAAAAACACACGCGCCGAAAGTGGTCTGTGTCTTCCCCGGCGTGAGTACCTCTGCCGGGACATCCGCACGCGAGCGGGGCCCGGCGGCGGCGCCAGGCCTAGTCGGTGTGCGAGGCGCAAGGTCGTGGGCCTCGGTACGTGCGGTCGGTGCGGCTGCGGGGGGTGGAGAAGTCCGGTTCGATGTGGCTGGTTCTCGCGCTCGCACACGGAGTTTAGCCACGACGGCAGTGGTGCGACCCTCTGTGCGGGCTTGGTTGCGCGTGCGGCGGGCGAGGCCGCTCTTGGGCGCTGCGGCAGCGCCGCGACGCCTTCTAGGGGCCATGTCCGCGGTGGAGCCCGGGGATCGATGGTGTTGCAGGTCGTCCACGCTCTCAAACGTGGAAATTTGACAAGTCCAAGTGTGAAAAAACGTCGCAAAATGAACGGAACTTGAAACAGTTTCATTTTGTGACGTTTCTCAAACGTGAAATTTTACGTTTCGTGAGAGCGGCCAACTACTGTAATTCCAAAAACGTAAAATTTTATGTTTGCGCACATGCTCTAATCTGTCGCACACGGGATGTGATGTATCACCTTCTCATGCACCGTCGTGCGGATAGTAACCAAGATGTTGACCAGCCGCGGCTCTGTTTCGTTGCTCGTCTCGGCATCGAACTATGTTCGCAGCTGCCATTGGCGAGCTGCAAATGCACAATGAACATTGTGACGCGT